GCGCCGTTGCTGCTCCCCCCGCCGCCCGCAGCCATGGAAACGAAGGACGGCGCCCGCAGAGGTACACAAAGCCCGGAGCGGAAAAGGCGAAGCCCAGTGCCGCGGGCGCCCAGCACGAAGCTGAGGCCGGCGGCTGCGGCCCAGGCCATGGATCCGGTGGCGGCCGAGGCCCCGGGCGAGGCCTACCTAGCGCGGCGGCGGCCGGAGGGCGATGGCGGGTCCGCGCGGCCGCGCTACAGCCTGCTGGCGGAGATCGGGCGCGGCAGCTACGGCGTGGTCTACGAGGCAGTGGCCGGGCGCAGCGGGGCCCGGGTGGCGGTCAAGAAGATCCGCTGCGACGCCCCCGAGAACGTGGAGCTGGCGCTGGCGGAATTCTGGGCCCTGACCAGCCTCAAGCGGCGCCATCAGAACATCGTGCAGTTTGAGGAGTGCGTCCTGCAGCGCAACGGGCTCGCCCAGCGCATGAGTCACGGTAACAAGAGCTCCCAGCTGTACCTGCGCCTGGTGGAGACCTCGCTCAAAGGTAGGGGCGCGCGGGTCCCTGCTGTCCGGCCGCTCGGCCCAAACTGCCCCAGCTTCCCCCTAGGCCTCAGTCCTGGTCCTGTCACCTTGGCCCCAGACACACCCTCCTTTCCCGGGCTCGGGCGTTCGCGCCCTCCCTCTCCTCCGCACCCACGATCAGTTTCTGAGCCAAACGTTGGCTGGTATTTTCATAAAAGCTCGTGTTAAGTGCTTACCATTATCTTACTAAGTGCCCCAATAAATGTGAGGCGTGATTACTGAACCGCTAGCACTTTGAAGATCAGTTGGGGAGTAAGGGAGGTGGGGTTCAGAGTTGGTGGCAGACCTGCGGCGCCACCCCCCCCTCTTCTTTTTCCCCCCAAAACAAAAAGAAAATACTTCACTGGACCCATTCACACAGTTTCCCTGTTTGGTTCCAAGTTTCCTGACACCCTCCAGCTCCACCCCCCAAAACTCTTGCTTCCTGGTCTGCCTTTTCCTCCGAGACCCCCAGCTCTTCATCCCAGGCATTCAAGCACACTGACGGTTTTCTGGTTTGGTCCTCTGAGACTTGTGGGCTAATAGCCTCCACAGGTGGGCTTAGAGCTGTCACATAACAAAGCATCTACCATCTTTTCCTCTATTTTACATTCTTTGTGTTTGTTTCTTAACCTCAGGGATTGGCTGGGAAGTGGTTTTACTTATAGGGAAAATGAGGCTCATTGGGGCAAAAGATCTTGCAGTCCTGGAAGAACTAATAGCCCTAGTTTCCGAGTTTTAACTGCGGTCTGGGGATATGTTCTTCCTAAGTGCTCACAAGCTTTGCTCAGACTGTGAGTAGCTCTGAATCTGCTCAGAGATGAGAGAGGGGCAGTGGGCTTGAAAATCTGAGGCAGGAGAATCCAGGGGAAGAAAGGTTACTAATCTGAGTCCCAGCTTTGGTCTTAGCGCTGAAGTGACTCTAGGTGATAACTTCAAAAGTAAATTCTATCCCCATTCTATAAATAGAGGCTTAGAGGTGAACAAATAATTTGATCAGGATTAATCCACTTGAAAGGGAAGTCGGACTGTACTCCTGGCTTCCTTCGTATAGCTTAAGTGATGTGAACCCAGATCTGTCTTGATTCAAAGCCTGGATTTTTTTCAAAGGAGTAATGTCCTTTCTTTAAGAATGAGTAGGATTTAGGGTGGGGTGGTTTTCTGAAATCTTGTTTGGAACTTTTGCAGAACTTTAAGATCCCACAGGCCTATCCCAAGAGAACGCCTTGTCCCATTTCAAGTTCATTGTTTGACAATGGACTGGGAGAGTGATCCCTATCAGCTGGGGTCCTTTTTTAGACTGCTACCTTTTTGACTATCTCTGTCCCATGCATTCTGAAAGTCCGGCTCTCTTCCCAGGGTGAATGTTTGTTTTGTGACAAGACTCCCTAGGAGTTTTCTACCTCACCTGTAATCCTAGAGGCATCACTTATTTTGAGGTTCTTGGATTCTCGGACTGCTTTCTCTGTGGTTAATGAACGGTCTGGGTTTCATATAGCTGGACTGCCTTGTGATGTGGGAATCTGCTTTGCCAGACACTCCTGTCCAGTGTCGGTCTTGAAACTTCAGCCTCTGTTTGAAACCCTTGCCCTCGATGTATAGATACTATTTAGACTTTCCTCACACTCAAAATTCGTCAAAACTCCATAGTCAACAATGGCAACCTTGCATAGTGGCTAATACTATGGATTTTGGGGTTAGACATTCAGTCCTGGCTTATCTCCGGGCTGATGCATGAAGCTTGGGACAAGTTGTTTTAGTCTGTGAGGAGCATTCCTTTATCGTAGGAATCATAGGGGTACCTGTGGCATAGGGGTTGCTGTGGAGACAATGTCAGCAAGAGCTGAGATAAGGAGGGACCTGCTGCCTCAGTAAGTTCAGGCTGTGTTCTGTGTCCCCTTCTGCCGTCATCCCCTTCAGGGTTCACATTGTTCTTGTTCAAGCTTCCCAAACTTGTTTGGCCATGGGACACGCCTTGCTTCCTGTGTTGTCAGCAACTCAAAGTTGACAGGAACACTGGTATTTTCAATCTTCCTTTGTGGACTAAAACTGAGACCTAGAGAAGTGAAATATTTTGCTTGAGGCCACATGCTTGATGTGTCTCTTTCAGTTGTTTGGAGTCTTCAAAATCTTCAAGTCTTTACAATGTTATAGGTGTGGAGATAGAACAGCGGAGAAAATGTTAGTTGTCTCTGCTAATGAAAATGACATTGAAGCTTACATGTCATGTGTTAATTTAGCAAATAGCAAATAGCCAGTCGTTTTTGCTTGTTAACCTAGAACAAAGACCCAAATTATTCCAGGTTAAATTTTCCTTGCTCCAGCTTTCAGAATTTAGTGATCTTGATCTATCCTGGGGCCTTGGGTTTACAGCATGTAAATACCATCCAGTAATATTAGCGCTGAAAGGAATCTGAGAGATAACTTGGTTCAGCTCTCTCATTAAACAGAAAAGTCCGTTGCAGTCACCCTTTGCCTGGTCTCCTGCCACTTAGACTGATTTTGAAATAGACCAGAAAGTGTTAATATCCTCAACTAAACCAAATGGTGAGATCCTACTGTGGTATTTGAAGGAAAAGGAAAAAACAAAACAAAACAAAACACCACTCCTAGCCCCAAAGGAACTTACATTTAAAAAGTTTACATAAGCCGGCTTGGTGGCTCAGCCTGTAATCCTGCGCCTTTGGGAGGCTGAGGTGAGTGGATTGCCTGAGCCCGTGGGTTCGAGACCCGCCTGGGCAGCGAGACCTCATCTCTACAATAAATAAAAAAATCAGCTGGGCGTGTTAGCGCGCGCCTGTAATTCCGGCTACTTGGAAGGCTGAGGCGGAAGGATCGCCGGAGCCCAGCAGGTCGAGGCTGCGGTGGCCGGAAGTGGCCACTGCACTCCAGTCTGGGCAACAGAGTGAGACTCCAACTCAAAAAAAAAAAAAAAAAGTTTACATAAATGCTCTTCAAGGTCACCATCCCTGGAGGTAAGGGCACATCAGCTCATTAACAAGGGCTTTGTACAGAATTAAGGAGAATCAGGAGTTAGGGGAGAAGGTGGGCTTGAAAAAGGGATACCTAGGGCTGTGGATAGGCAGTGAAGAGACAAATGAATTTATTTCACTAAGGGGCCAATAAAACCGTTATTTTTTCCCCATCAGTCTCAACTTCCTAGTTCATATACAGAAGGCATTTTGATATTCTATTTAATGCATGGTGTAAATAATTCAATATTGGGAAAAACTTCTTGAGCTGCTGTTCGTGGACTTTCTCATTTTGTTTGACAGACTTCAGTGCACTGTATCTTTCCTTTCTGAGTACAGACCAAACAAGCCCTGCCAGGAAACATGGAGAGAGAGCATAAGCTGGAGGAGGTTAGAAGAGGTTTCAGTGTCTCACCTGGCCTTCTGTTTCACAAGGAAGGAAAAGGACTGGACTTAATCCAAAATGAGTTAGTAGCAATGCTCAAATCAGCCTTCCAAGCTATTTAAAACCAAATTAAGTGCCTTGTAAATTATTGGGTTGATGGGTTGGTGCCTGTGACGTTGTTTAACTTTGAAGTTCTTTTCTTTTCTTTTTGAGTTGGAGTCTCACTCAGTTGCTCAGACTGGAGTGCAGTGGCCGCTCCCGGTCACTGCAGCCTCTACCTGCTGGGCACCGGCGATCCTTCCGCCTCAGCCTTCCAGGTAGCTGGAACTACAGGCGCGCGCTACCACACCCAGCTAATTTTTGATTTACTGTAGAGATGAGGTCTCACCAAGTTGCCCAGGCGGGCCTCGAACCTGCGGGCTCAGGGAATCCACTCACCTCAGCCTCCCAAGGCGTGGGGTTACAGGCTGAGCCACTGAACCTGGCTTGAGGTACTTTTCAATAAAAAGGAGTGAAGGCATCAACAGTTTGTATTTATCCTTTTGTTTTCCATGACTAAAGGACCCTTTCTGTAATATACTCACTGATTCTTCTGGCAAACAGCAAGTGAGGATTAAAAAAAAAAAATCCAGGACAAACTCTCAAGGCTTAAAACTGAATAATTAGAAGTTTGGGAGAGCTGGGAGCGTAGCTTATCCTCAGTGAGTTCTGTTTTACCTGCGGTTTGATGTTTACTCAAGATGCCTTTAGGTGGCTTGAAATGGCTGGGAACCTAGGCCTTGGTAGTAATCTTGCCTGCACAACACAAGGCTGCTATGAACCAGGCTGCTGTGTTAGAAGAGCCGCTTCACAGTGTTCAACATAAGGCATGGTGAAGACACATGCCCAGATGAACACAGTGCAAGGTCACAAGTGGTGGTTTCCCAGAAAACAGTAGAGGTTCTTGCTGAAAGCTGAATTAGAGGTGCTGAGAAGCTGGGAAGGGAAAAACTGAGGGAGGAACTAGTGTGGGGGAGATAGGGTCTTAGCAGTAGATTGGTTGTCAGCCGCAAACTGCCCCAGCCTGCTGAGTGCCTAGGGAAACCTTAGGGCTCAGAGCAGAACCACCCCTTCCCAGACCCCCAGAAAGCAACTCTGAATTCTCTAACTGTAGCTTGGGCCTTAAAATTTAGAGGCCCTTCTCCCCCCTAGGTGAAGAGACAGACAGCTGGAAGATGATCTTTGGCTAAGCTGATACAGGTGAAAGTGGCATTGGGTACATTAAATTAACGGGATACGATAGAACGCTGAACTTGGGGTCAGAAGGTTTTAGTCCCAGTTCACCCTGTGAGTATGTGCTAAAGCTTGCTGATTGCTATGTAACAGGTACTGCTCTAAAGGCCTTATACCTGCTAACTCATTTGGTCTTCACAATCACTGTTAGAAGTCAACACTGTGATTATTTGTATTTGACAGGTGAGGCAACTGAGGCACCAAGGCTAATGGACTTGCCCAGTGTCGAAGAGCTAAATAGTCAGCCAAGTCAGGGTTCAAGCCCAGACATGTGAACTTGCCTAACCACCGTGAGGTACCGCTAGGACCAGGAGGCTTGTGCTCTGAGTCCTTCTGAATCCTTCTGGCTTTCTT